ATATAGGGTGGGGGGTTTAGGGGGTGGGTAGGAACCGTCAATTTTACGAACGGAGCACCGGAGGTGCCCCAAAAACCCAGTGGCACCGCTAGTGGCACTGTTCTCCGGTGTCACTATAACCGGGCTGATGTTAAATAAATATTTTTAAGGATTGAAATAAGTATTTTTAAAATTACAAAAATACATGTTTCAAATTAAGTTATCTATTTACTATTCACATGATCAAACTTCATTAATTTTCTTTCTCTATTTTTGTTAGTCATTTGATAAAATAATATAATCGTGCACCACTAGTTTTGTAAATTTTTTGATGTACTTTTTAAATTTTTTTTAATTCGACACCATTTTTATATAAAATGACTTAAAAATAATTTCAATTAAATATCGTAAACTGAAAGAAACGATTTTAATTGGGATAGAAGGAGTAAAATTTTACAACGACCATCTATGCCTTAGCTAGTAATTTTCAAGTTTCTATTATACCCTAGGTTTCACGAAAAAGTAATCGAATCAAAAGATACGAAAGTTGTACTCCCTTCGCCCTAAAATTAACTTCCCAATTTGACTTTTATAGTCAAATTTTTAAAATTTGACCGTATATTACGGAAAAAATATATTAAATTTTCATATAAATTTATTAGCAATAGATTCATTTTGAAACATAGTTTTGAAATATATAATTTTTATAAAATATATTTCTATAAAAATTGAGATATTGTTTGTCAAAGAGTCGTATTGGAGACCGTGAAAAGTCAAAAATGAAGTTAATTTTAGGACGGTGAGAGTAAGATTTATTGTTGAGTTAATACATTTAGTGTAAATATATCCAGTCACACTCACTCATCTCAAAGTCTACCCTGTCCTTCTCCATGGAATGAGGGTAAATTAAAAAAAAAGTAAACTTGAAGATGCAATTTATTTGTAATTAATTGATGGAAATTTTTTAAAAATATTGAAAATAGTAGGAAAAAAATAGTAGGAAAAAAAAGCAATAGGAGTACCAAATCAATTAATGAACCAGTACGAGTACGTACTAATGAACCACCCCCAAAAAAATAAACTACTGTACTATACTATGTTTGGTGACCAAAAACAAAATAAAAAAAAATGGAGCAGAGATTAATGTTAGAAAATGAAAAGAAGATTATTATTGTTATGCTAATACGAGTATATTATTGTGGGTCGGAAGTATCGAGGCACTTAGCTTCATTTTAAATGGCACATGCAACAACTGCAACGTAACACTAGCTACTTGAACATACTCAAAATGGAACCGGAACCGGAACCGATGACTAGCGACACCATTGCGGCGCCAAAACTTATAGGCCCGAACGAGCCCGATCCCCAGGAAAAGTACGCTCCCTACGTGAGGCACGATTCCTACGGGATCATGGGCCGTGCCCACCTTTCGTGGACCGAAAAGGTGTTGCTGGGGGTGGCAATGTTGACGCTTTTGCCCCTGAGGGTGGCGGCCGCGATGACGCTGGTCGTGCTCTGCTACCTGACGTGCCGGATTTGCACGGCATTTCTGGGTCCGAACGAGCACGGGAACTACGCGCATTTGGAGGGGTGGAGGAGGAAGGTCATCATGGCCAGCGGCAGGTTTACCGGTAGAGCGCTTCTCTTTGCCTTTGGATTTTATTGGATCGACGAAACCCACCGGGGCCATCATCACGTCCCTCCTCTAAATTCAAACCACAAGGTAAACGATTAGTTCAACTCAGAAAATTCCTATTAACTCATCAGTGTTAAGTTCTCATATGGCCCGGCTTTTGGTCATACATTAAAGGCGAGGAGCGAAGAAGAAAGGGCGGGAGTGATCGTGTCGAACCACGTATCTTATACCGACGTCTTATACCACATGTCTTCTTCTTTTGCCAGCTTTGTAGCCAAGGTACACTAGCTATATATAGTCATGATCTTCTTCATTTTCCAGAATTTTTATTAATTATTATGTGATCTTTGTTCTTGATCACGCGTGATATATGTTTACGATCGAAGAAATCGGTGGCTAGGCTTCCCCTTGTTGGCCTCATCAGGTTGTTAATTATATACTGGCTTAGCTTCTCAGTTTGATCTTCTTGATGATATGATATGTTTGTTAATCATGTTTTTTTTATATAATAAACTGCAGCAAATGCCTTGGTTGTATCTATGTAGAGAGAGAATCTAAGACACCAGATCTCATTGGTGTTTCAGGTAATAAAAATCCAATCAAAAGTAATAAAAGCTCCAAAAAAGATTAAAGAAAATCAAATTTTGTTCAATCTTTTTATAACAGGGCATTCCATCATATGGTTGCAGGTGTGGTGAACCAAAGAATCCAGGAAGCTTGCAAGAACAAGTTCTCTCCAATGGTGATACTTTTTCCAGGTCAAACTAACTCTTGCAATTTTTTTTCCATGAAATTTGAGGACCCTTTGTTATAAATGAACAAAAACAATGCACTAGAGACACCAAAACTAGGAGAGTATCATGTACAGTTTTTCATCTCACCAAAAGCTAAAAAAAAGAAAAGTAAACCTACTGGTTCATCTTCTTCTTCACTGTTAAAATGATGTTTCACAACAGAAGGCACAACAACAAATGGAGACTTCCTCCTTCCATTCAAGACGGGTGCATTTGTGGCAAGAGCTCCGGTCCATCCAGTCATCATACGTTATCCATACCGTAGGCTTAGCCCTGCCTGGGACTCCATTTCAGGGGTACTTTCTGCAAATTTTGTAGTTTTTTTCTCTTCTTATATTTACATCCTCCTCGCTTTGAAAATCATAAAAAAAAAATTGATAGAATGCTCTGCTCATTTATAACAGGCTAGGCATTTGATTCTTCTTCTCTGTCAATTTGTAAATCATATGGAAGTGATCTGGTTACCAGTATACTATCCCTCACCACAAGAAAAGGATGATCCTAAACTATATGCAGAAAATGTCCGCAGGTTTATGGCTCACGAGGTAAGTTTTTTCTTTCTTTTTTTTTCATTCATTTACCATTCTTAGAGTATAAACCCTTTCATAGGCCTACAACAGTAATTATACTATTAAGTTTATAACTAAATGTTCAAAGATTCGGTCTCATTAAGTTTGTTCACAATGCAGGGAAGTCTGATACTGTCAGATATTGGATTGGCAGAGAAGCGAGCATATCTTAGTGCTTGTAACGGTGACACGAGAACTACTGCTAACAATCATCAGAAAGTCAATTGATACGAATATGGATTGAGAATCTTGTAGTAAAGTTATGGCATTCCCATTTTAAGGAATGAAAGCATTTATTACATCAGAAAATTTCAGTGTTCACTTTAAAGACCGTTGATGTCCTAAAACACGAGTTTATGATTCTTAAAAGTTAAAACAACTACATGAAAAGCGCATGGAAAGTGTTACGCATATGTAAAACATGTTTACCTACCTTGCCTTTAGGGCGCGATTAGTTGACCATCTGAATTCCCATGAAGAAGGTATGCATCCTCTTAAGGGAGATTGTAGGAACAATGAAGATGCTGACAGATGCCTTTGTCTTGTTGAAATTGAAGAAAGACAGTCAAAGGAACTTCTTAACCTTTTCTTTTCGCCCTCGTGTTCTTCTTCTTCTTTGCCATTAGGATCGTGTTGTACTGCAGCAATTTTTAGGGCCTCGGGCAACACACAGTTGAACATTGAACCTAAGTGAACAACAAAAAAATGATATTCAGGGCAAACATATCTTTATGAGTTTAAGTTAAAGGTTTTTGTGCTGAAATGGACGGATTGACTGCACTTTGTGAAGGATTAAGTGCTTGGTAACATCCGTTTCAGCTAAACAATGTCATAGTATAAATCTTTTCTTGGAGGGTTGAGGTTGACTTGGTCCTTTGAAATGGTATCAGAGAGTTACTGACCTAGAGGTCACGAGTTCAAACTACAAACCTCATCGCCACTCAATTTTTAAAAAAATAGTGTTCACGCGTAAGTCTCAAGCAAAAAACAAATCTTTTATGCGCGTGAAGGGGTGTGTCAAAGAGTAAAACCTTAGAACTACAACCACAAAGCTTGATCTTGTGGTTGAGTTGGTTCCATAAAAAAAGCAAGTCAAAAGTTAAAAATATAAAATCATCAATTTGAACATAGATATACTGAATGGGGAAATGTTACCTAGCTTTGCTAGTCGATTCACCCATTTTGGGATTTTCTTTCCGGTAAGCTTGTAGCATATGTCGTTGCAGAAATGGTTGCAGTTTTTCACAATCAAGTGGTACGTGTCACCGTTGTAGCTGGTGGATTGACGCTCAATGAACTCCCTCACTTGGGTATGGTTAAATTTTGTTGTTCCAATGAATATGGATTTCCTAAACTTGAAGCCCGGGCATTGATGCGGTTCAACTTCAAACACACCACTACTTGAATAGTCATGAGCTCCATATGCATATTCTACACCATGCACTGAAAAGTGCAAAGGTAATCATTTAAGAAAAGAAAAAAAGAGATGCGGATTAATAGAGCATACGGGTATGTTTGGATCCAAGAAAAATGTTAGGGAATGGAAATGAAGTATGCTTAATGCATTAAACATGTTTACATATATTTCAATCTCTTAGTCTTTATATAATAAAAATAGATGGATTTAACAAATATCAAAATTATTGAGTTTGAAATAATGCCTTGTTCTCCAACCCATATTTTTTCCAAATCAATGCATTCCCGAGTTCCAAACGGACCCTAAGAAGTTTGGGAATTGTGGTTACCTTCCACTCCGGAATGAAAGATACCAAAGCCAGCCCAATAGGCATAACCATTCAAAGGTGTCAAGTCGTAGACGTTGAGATAAACCGGTGTATCACCAGGGCCATAACTGTCAGACTTCTGTTTAGGAAGGAAGCAAAAGCTGGTCGCCGTTTTGCCCTTCAAACGGAGTGGCATAATTGGTTTTCGCCCTATCTTTAGCTTTAATTTCATAGTGATTACAATTGAGCTAGGTCAAAGCCAATTTGCATCTTGTACATCTGCACAAAAAATGGAAATTACTCATTCAAATCTCTAGTGTTTTACCTCAACTGATATTACCTCAGAAGCAAGAAACAAACACACTAGAAATGATTCTACTTTGCTCCACATTGAACCGAAATCTCGCCGTGTTTTTCATGTCAAGAAATGACAATTTTGCATTATTAACTGACATCATTTCTAGACTACAAAGCATTAAACAAAGCATTCCCAGATTCTATCAACCTACCATTTCTCCTTCATTTAAGAAAACTAATTTCTCTGCAGAATATGGATCTGCAAGTAACTATGAGACATAGCTCCAAACTGAGTCCCTCACAAATGCAAATCCTCTTAGCTCATCTAATCTCCATTACCAAAAGGAGGATAAAAAGATCAAACCCTAGCTCAGATTTTTGAAACCTACCTACACTGTTTAATATTTATAAACGAAGCGAGAAAAATGCATCAGCAACTAAGGGTATAATAAGTTGAACGAACCCAAATCTTAAATCTTCCTTGATAACAAGATAAACATACAAACCCAAAAAATTGAAAGAAAAAAAATGGGCTTCGAAACCATAATTCTATCAGATCTCGTAACAAAAAAAAATGAGATTTTTGAGAGAAGGCCAAAATGGGGAAAAATGAGCAGTGAAAAGCACACCCAGAGAGCAGAATATATATTATAAACAGTAAAGAAAACAAATTGGAGGAATGGTAAACATACAAATTGACATCAGAAGAGAGCTCAAGAAAGAAAGAATTGAGCTTTTTTCTTGGGCATTGGGAGGGAGCGCCCCAATAATTCAGTTCTTGTTGATGGTCTTTAAAGGCATAAGTTTCACTGGTGTATGCAGCAAACACACATTTTCTTGAAACAGTGAAGAAGCAGAAGCAGATACTCTGAAGGGAAATAATTTGGCACTTCACTGCTCAGATATAGGTGGCGAATATCAAGAAAGAAGAAAGAAAGAAAGAAAGAAAGAGAGAGAGAGAGAGAAAGAAGAGTGTATCTGAATTCTGAAGAGACTTGCCTGAGTTTTTTTGGGGTAAGTTCAGTATTAAATTTAAGGGAAAAAAAACTAATTCAAGTTATTAGACATTGGTTGGTAAATTGTACCCCTTCGTCCCAAATTATAATGTCTGCTTTCCTTTTTCGTCCATCCCAAATTGATATGCTTATTTCCTTATTTTGTATGATTATTTATGTGGACTTTCCAAAATACCCTCCCATATAATTACTCCTACCAACCCTTTCTTACTCCTAACCACCTTAAAAAATAAAGTGAGGGGTAATTTTGGAAAGTCAGCTTTATTTTTTTCTTTCCTTAAATATGACCTAAAGTCAAAATAGGCGTTATAAAACGGGACGGAGGGAGTAATAACTTTTGGATTGGTTACAAAGTTTATATTAATTTTTCTTTTTTGTATAAAATTTTAACAATATAAATCAAATTTAAATACTACAAATAAATATATTTAAAAAATCTTTCCAAAACGTTAATGCAAAACACTGAATTTGTTTCAAATGCATATTTCTTTGAACACATAAATTTAAGTTTTTGATTTGCGAAGTAGCTAGTGTTTAGGTTTTTATAATGTACTCTGTATTGATTTAGGAAAAACAAACAAATATTTAAATATAATAACTCTTTCGTCTCAAAAAAAAATTTCATATACTACCTCCGTCTCTGAGTATTTGTCCAGTTTTGACCTTTTTCGGTCAACTGACCTATAATTAAATAAAATATATATTGTATTTTAATTAAATACAATATATATTTTGAAAATATTTGGTATAATAAATCTAATAAAACTCTATTTGTATCAATATTTAATATTATTTTTATTTAATTTGAGATCAAAGTTTATTAATTTTGACCGAAAAAAGTTAAAAGTGAACAAATACTCAGGGAGCGATGGAGTACCTTATTTAAATTTTAATCTTCTTTTTTGTCTATTTATTATAGTACTGTGTACTTTATTGTCTTATTTTGTTAATTTTTTTTAATATTGTTTTCAAAATGGAGTTTCTAAATTTTATAAATAAATTTTAAATAATTTTGAAATAACCATTTTTGAACCGAGGGGATGATCGAATTAAACAACATGATGGTTGACATGTCAGTCTCATACTAAAAGAGAGTTATTATCAGAACCATAGCAAAATCGTGGGGTGGATTTTATAGTTTTTAGATTATTTTTCTTTAAGAAAAACTCGGCTATAATTTTTATATTCATTCTTGTACTATAATTGTTGTGGTTTCTTGGCCAATCCCCACGCTTGCAACACACTTGTAAAATACTCCCTCCAAATTTTGGTATTTTTGCCTCATTTTTATTTATTATATTTGAATGAATTTTTTTTATAAATTAAACTTTAATTTTAGATTGATCAGTAGATAGTGATATTTGTTTCTAATACACGCAAAGACCTCATGCTAAATAATCGTCATTCATCATCATTGTCTGGAATTAAACGCGGCCATTACACTTTTTCACACCTCACCACGAGGGAACATGATCCATAAAAAAGAAAGAATAATAATAAAAAAAGCTTTTCTTAGAATTATATGCCAAACACTCCCTAAAACTAAAGCCACAAGGTGGTTTAAGAAAACATGAAAGTATTGCAATTAAAAAGACAAAGGAGAAGGTCACCCACTTGCCTTGTTGGCAATGCCTTCCTCTTGTGTATTTTTCTTCCTAAAGATTTCTTCTTTCCCCTTTCACAAGCACAAGACTATTTTCACTCATTCATTAATGGCGTCCTCCATTTCTATCCATTAGAAGCAATGCAAATAGTTCTCTTCTAAAAACTGCAACGTCTCAAGTCTAGTCTCACCAAACAGGGCACATGTCATTTATTGTTGTTCTTTGTTGCATGATTTTATATGGATGGATGCCCCCCACCATGCATTTGTGGGGACTGCTAAAAATGGGCACCTTTCCATCTAAAAGTTCTACACAACCTTATATGCTTAAATCCTTCATCATTGAGCAAATCAATTATTTTGCTCATAATAATAATAATAATTGGGATCATCCTCAATCCCATTATATAATTTTCTAATAATAATAGTAGTAGTAATACTACCTCCGTCTCCGAGTATATTTATCCAATTTTTAATTTTTTTGGATCAACTGTTTTCAACTTTTGTCCTATAATTAAATAAAATATATATTGTATATTATTTACATAAAATAATATTTTAAAAGTATTGTATATAATAAATCTAAAGAAACTATTTTTGTATCAATATCTTATATCATTTTTATTTAATTTGAGGTCAAAGTTTACGAATTTTGACCGAAAAAAGTCAAAATGGACAACTACTCAAGGACGGATGGAGTAATAATAATAACAATAATAATAATAATAATAGTAATAGTAATAATAATAATAATCAGCAGCTTAGAGTCTCTGTGCTCATATCCATCATCATTCAACTTCATAAACACAAAGGATAAAAAACATCTTTAGAACAACAAAAATGTTTTTCACAAATCCCAATGTATATATAAACATATACTCCTCCGTAGAAGCTACCAAAAAGTTTCCATAGAATGGTTTGTGTCTGCTTCTTTGAAGAGAAAATAATACTAGTTCAACATCTATTATATCTACCAGATACCATAACCATCTATGGTATCCTATTGCTAATGAAATTTAACTAATAAAAGAAGGAAAAAAAATCTATTATGCAAAGGAACAAAAAGAATAGAGTTACCTAAAACTGCTCTGTTCCAGTATAAAGAAGATTCTGGGCAGACCCTCCTATACATTATGATTATTAGAGTTCAATAATTTCTCTTCTTCGCTTGACATATCAGTGATGGAGAGCTGAATGTTTGCTTTGTTGGTCATCTTATTCCACTCGTTTTCGACACGAAAGAAGGCCCACTGGAAGCGTCGGAAAATCTCCAAGGCGGTGATTGTGAATAGAGTTAAGTAATTGTGGCGGAGATGGGCAGACAACTTGTATGTCCACGTGCACCGCAGTATCAGGTTGCTTCCTATCACCCATATATATACCTGCAATTGTAATATCCCCCAGAGTAGGGAAGGGGTTACTTTAGAGTAGAACTGTGTTTCCCAATTTCTATATTACCCTTCGGCTAAAACTCACACATCAATGCTATGTTTGGAGTCCAAAAATATGGTAGGGAATGTGGGGAAAATGGGGGAAAATGTTTTTTCTTTGTTTGGTTGTAAGTTTGAACTTGAAAATACGACAAAAAAACAAATTTGATTAATTTTGTAGTACAATTAACTCTATTACATTGTACGGAGTAGTATCTTTCCATACATACTCCCCCCCGCCCCCCACTGGGGTTCCAACATGTGACCTCAAGTTTTACTTATTTTTAAACAAAACTTGAATATACTTGTTTCTTTAATCTTTGTATAATAGAAGTAATCAAATATTCTTTAATGTTTGTATAATAGAAGTATACAGAGTAAAATTGAAATGAGTTTGAACAAGTATCTAGAGATGAACTATTGAATTTGAAGTTTGAACTGTTTTTTTAATATTCCCCACTAGCTTTTTCTTTCATTCCCAATGTCCCCTTTATTTTCCAATTTATTTTCTTTGCAAAGCATATTTCAAGTTCCAAATGGACCCAGGAAAACACACACAAGCACACACACACAATCGTATCCTGAAACAGTAAAATGAACTAATAGATAAAAATATAGGAAAGTCAAACAAATGGTCTTACCCACTTCTGTCCATATAACATGTGTGATAATAAGTGAGGCTTGTTGAACTTGAAAATTCGAGTAAAGCAACTGGCAGAAATGAAAAAGATTGTTAGTCGACGTTTTGATTGAATTCATTGGTTCTTCAATATGGCGTATTACTATATTTAAATTAGGTGCATAAGTCAATCAACTTTGGCCAAAAAAGTAAAAACAGGGAGAGAGAGAGGGGGGGAGGGTTATTTTTAAGAATATCCTACAGTTGGGTTAAAACTTTGATGTCTAGAAAGCAAATACAAGGGCATTTCTTTCCCCCAACGCCCCCAAAAGGATCTTAAAATACAGATTTGAAATCATTGATAGGAATCACCAATCAAGATTTTTCAAAAGTTAGAAAAAGAAAGAATTACGTACCCTAGGTCCCAATCTCTGTTCAGATCCCAATAGAATGAGTAAAGGGAATTCAAAACACTGGAAATAAGCCACAAAGGCCGATAGAAGTTGACCCAGTTATCGGGAGAGACGTGATACTTTAGGGCTGATAGAAATATTACGGGTACCGCAGTTGAATACTTTAATGCTGAAATCATGTGCCAAACACTATTAGTGCAACATTCATTGTCAAGGGTAGATTACCACTCAATAAAATTTTAAAAACAAACACGTAAGAAAACTAGGGTAAAAAACCTCTCTAAGATATAGGCATTGGAAAACTGAGATATAGACGTGTCATATCATAATGCATTACAAAATTCAGACTTTCACTGTTGGAGTACTTGACGATTGATATGTGTAACTGTGCATTAGTTTGAGCTTATGGTGGAGGGGAGGTTGCAAAGAAAAAAAATGACACACATAAACATGGATGAAGAGAATGATGAGATGCAAAAGTAAGACAACCAGTCATCCCACCAAAAATAATTACATACTATGTCAATTTATTATCTAAATACGTTAGCACCATAAATTCAAGCAAAAAAAGCAATAAAGTTTACACTAGGTTTTCTCCGTAATGCAACCTTAGTACATTGGAAAAATGAGAAAATTTAATTGCAATAATTTGATATTGTTTTCTCCCACTTGAATGGAGAATATTATGAGACTACCATGAGTTCAGTTGAGATAGATGTCATAGCCATATCCCTTAACATATTGATATTGTAAAATCAGCATGCACATCTTTGAACACAAAGGGAGAGAGAGAGAGAGAGAGAGGCATATACCATTGAGGAGGGTATTCTTCTCTAGAGTATCCTTATATTGTCGAAGACATTGGAAGAGTCGGAAAAAATATGGCAAAACAAGAACTATAGGAATTGCAACAGCGTGACTCCCACAAACAGAATCAGCTTCAAACCAAGCAATGGTGGCTACCTGCACATGTTATGGTACATTTTTCAAATACTAGTATTGAAACTCAAAAATAATATGGAAATGGAAGGAGAAAAGGCAAACCTGGCGATGAACCATTCGACAAACCGAGCGCTCTAAATCTGAGAAGACCTGCAAGCAATGGCCATCTACATCCTCAACTAAAACTGGAAACTCTTAATTACTTTAAGCAAAAAAAAATGCAAGACATTTTTTGTTGGGGAGGGGGGTGTTAAACTTAAGCGCATAGCTAGTAGGAGACGAAGAGAGAGAGAGAGAGAGAAAGGCAGATCAACAGCTGATGAACAGCTAAAGACAGATAAAAAAGGGCATATAAATACATGTTGGTGCATGTAGATTATATGTGCTTCCAAGTGCAAGTGTACAACAACTACAACAACCCAGTTGAATCCCACAAAAGTAAGGTCTAGGGAGGGTGTGTATACGCAGACCTTACCCCTACTCGAAAGTAGAGAGGCTATTTCCAAAGAGACCTCCGGCTCAAGCACCACATGTAATCACGTACACAGCCAAGTGCTTCCAAGTGCAAGAAGCATAATGAGTTCAAACAAAGTGATTCTACAGATTGGGAGTGTACTCCAAATATATACACTAGGACCTGGGAATGGTCAGACCTAAAAGGCGATAACTAATAAGTCAGCATTATTTGGTTAATGAGGGAGGACTAGTTCTACTAATGGTCTGACAGGACTGTGGGACACAGACATGAACCAATCAATTTGTCCCACACTCCCATGGATTCTCTCATCCTCATCAAATAAATTTCCATTACAAATGCATACCTTTGACATGGATGTAAATATATCAGCCAAAAAGAAATCAGGAAAAGTAATCGCCTGCAATCATGGAATCAGAATATAAAAATATGTATCATATCTGAAAATAACAATAACAAAGACTTATCCCACTAGGTGGGGTCGGCTACATGGATCAAACAACACCATTGTGCCATTGATCACGTATCATATTTGAAAAACAAAACAAAAAATGTTATTATAAATGAGAACTATTTATGAGTAAGAAATTAATGTATCACTGATCCTTCAAGCAATAAAACCATGAGTCATGACGGAAAGCTATAATTAGCATTCAAAAAGACTGAACACTGCTAAGAAAAATTTGCAAGAATGCTGCTAAGCGTTGTTAACAGCTCTAAATAGCTTTAACCCTTGCATCATCCTAATGACATAAACATTATAATGTCACTTTGTTGACTAAGGATTATTTCATTCTTATTGAATAGATTCTTGTATCCCTTTATCAACTCTTAGAGTGAAAAATTGATTTCTCACTCTAATTACATGGTATAATCATATACCATGTGAATACGTGATTAGAGGCTAAATCACAAAGTTGGAGTTAAGATGAAGCCTCTAAGAATAGTTCAGTTATCAATTTGTTGTTGTCCAAATAAATTGTGGTTTTGTTCTCATTGAATTTCAGTGTTTATGATTATGGTACACAACATGTGACTAATCCTTGGGATTTATGTGATGTTGATCATTTTCAAGCATGAACTGTGCACTAAGAGGATGAGCATATAAGTGAAGTGTTGAGAATAGCATTTATACCTAACTTTATATGTTATGTGAATAGCCTCTAGAGCGTTAATGGTGTTGTTCTAGATAATGTGAATTGTAATGGGATTCACACATAGAATTCATTACACCTCATTCATGTAAGAGTGGATGTTAGATTCATGATATTGTCGTCATGATTTTTGGTTGACGACTTCAATTCAAACACTTTTTCCTTGATAGTTTGCTAGACTTATAATTATGTTAAAACTTATCCAATTTTAGTATTGTGCATTGCATTCATTTTGAACATCCAATGTCCAAAAACATGACTTAGGATTTTTAAACAGTCAATTTCCTTGTGGCACGCATGTTAAGGAAAAGTGGAATTGTATGGTTGATAATGAATATTTAAGTATGGATACACTGAATAAATTTTAATCACCCAAACATAACAAATATGGGATGGGACAAAGATAGTGGAATGGAGGGAGACTAGGTTTGCTTAGATTAATTGATTATTGAATGAAGCAAGTCTCTAACCACAGTAGTCATATACTCCATATTCATGAAAAAACTAAACACAACAACAACATCAACCCAGTACATTCCCACAAAAGCAGGTATGAGGAAGGTGTGTGACCTTACCCCTACTAAACACATTAAAGTCAATTGCCATTTTGTTCAAGAGAAGATCAACAAGGTTTAACTTCCATTTGATATGTGAAGATCAGTGAAGCGCTAGAAGAAAACTTTACAAAAGCTCTAAATGGAACTCAGGTTAATAGTTTTTGCAATAAGTTTGACATGATCAATATCTGTGCTCTATCTTGAGTGTTTAAATTTTTAATAGTTTTGATTAGCTTTAGAGTTGTCTCACCATTACATCATCCCAAAGACATCATCCTTATCATTTCAATTTGTTGACTTGGGATTATTTCATTCTCAATAATAGGTCCATGTATCCATTATCAATCCATGTATCCAACTGTAATTATGAATGCAGTGCAAACTTGCCTGTAGTGGGAAAATTATCCTCCAAGAGGTCCTCAAGAAAAAGAAGCGAGTTGATAAATAAAAAATATCAAAGGGAGATATCAGTGCCATTGCAAAAGCAGCATATAAGAGAACCTGCAATTGCATATGGTCAAAGTTAATAGAAGTTATCAAAATATATTAACAGAATATATAGATGGGTAGTGCAAAGACTTGTGTTCTAGTACGTATTGCAAAATTAATGTGGAGTCTAATGTTAATATCACAAAAAGGGCAAATAAGAAAAACTTCGGGGTTTACTTTGAATGATAAAGATTAATAAGGTGTACTCAACAGTGTAATAGTGTGTGTGTGTGTGTGAAAAAAAATATAAGCAATGAGTTAAAAAGGAAGCATCTATTACACTGGTTGGGAGGCAGCTAAAGAGACTTCTCCATGCGAATAAAGATATAAATAGGCGGTCATGCTAGTAGGGACAATTATTGTCATCCAAGTAGCACACTGCAACACGAAGCGAATGCAAATACATCATTGTACAGACACAGTAGATGTGAGAAAAGTCCATTGAAGTAGATTAAATATATACCCTCCAAATTTCTCTGTGAGTGAGATGATTCTGGTCGAGGTCAAAAATTTTAGCATAGTTGACACTTGACTGCATAAAAACCCACAAGTTCACGCCCCAAAACCAAACCATCATAGTCTGCAGTCACCAAAAGTGAAAGTTTGAGAAACCAGCCTTATAAGGCAGCAATAGAAACAAGAAAACAATATAGGTTGCATTGGTTGCAAGATCTTTTTTTTAAAAAAGAAAGCAAACTAACCACAAGGAGTAGAGGATTGTAATACAGAAAGGCCTCATATAAAAATAAATCCCTCAAGTTTGCACTCATTCTCATTACTGAATCCCATCCAATCTGTTAATTAAATCGAATGTCAGCTGAGAAGGGTTATAAAAAATAATAATCCAATAAACTGACTTGCTGTTTTGTGGTAATGTGAACATGGCACAAAACATGTTAAAAAATACACCAACCTTACAACAAGCAAAACTCCACAGGAAAAAAAGAAGTACCTGAAAAAGTATCTTTGTTAGACTAAAAAAATATACGGAGAATAAGGTTTCAGTGAAAGAGAGCCATTACCAACATGCATGCTTACATGAAAGTATGAAACTGCAGAAAAGGGAAACTAAATAATCTTTTTAAAAATCTCTTAGTAAACAAGGAATATCCTCTCAGAATACTAAAATACTCTACAACAATAAAAGCGACCCAGTTGGATCCCACAAAAGTAGGGTCAGGGGAGGATGTTTATGCAGACCTTACCCCTACTCAAAAGTAGAGAGGCTGTTTCCAAGAGACCCCCGGCTCAAGATGCATGGATAAAATGATCACAAGAGATTCATAGAGCAAACAAAGCACAGATAAAAAAAACAATCACACAAAGACAAAGAACAAACTACAGTTAACGAAGGAACAATACTGCAATAAATAGCACCAAGCACGCAAGTCATACAAGGCACACAACAAGTGCAAAACACTACCCCCTAGCCCAAGGCACCTACTCAACTACTTTAACCCTAGCTCTCCAAAAGCTCCTATCTAAAGTCATATCCTCAGTGAGGCCAAGAAGTCTTAAGTCTTGTTTAATCACCTTCTTCCTAGGTCAATCCCTTCCCCTACTCAACCCACAAACGTAAGCCTCTCCGCCTCACATGCTCAAACCACCTCAACCTAGCTTCCCACAACCCATAGTTATCACGTCGCCAATGCGAGTCGCGGTGCCAGTGTAACGCTATGACGCCTAGGCGTCTAGGCGACTATAAGATGACTAGTAGTAAATGATAATTGCAATAGAGTATACATTAGTAACACTAATATAAGTTTATCACATTATATTTTGTAGATAGAGTTTAAATTTCAAATTCAGCAAAGTTTAACATCCAAATGATAGAAATTATGTCACAACAAAGTCTCAAAAACCCTCAAGAAAAGAAGAATTGAAAAAGTCATTGCTTGACAACAAGGTCTCAAAAATCTTCAAGAAAAAAGTAATGCTCTATAAACCTATTAAAAACACATCATTTAAAAAATAATATAAATTATTCCATCCATTTAAAAACAAATATACAAACATTCAATTTTTTATAAAAGAACATTTAAAAAATTAAATCAGCAGAGAAATATTTAAAAAAATCATTTAATGTGGCAGAGAAAGATTAAAAAATAATTTAATGTGGCAAGAAAACAACTTCATATTTTTTTATGAAAGGAAGATTAAATCATTAATAAAAAAAACCCTAAAAAACACTGAAGTGGAGGAGTGAAACCTTTTCAATAAACTATTAAATAAGGATCTAAAAATAAAATATAAATAATTCCAAGAATAAAAAGAGTAAACTTAAGTTGAGAAGGCAGGTGCGATTTCCAAATGGGAGAAGAAGAGCGACCCAAAGAAGATCACGACCAAATTCCACCGCAGTGACGAGGTAGGGAAACACGATCACAAGCAATCTCCAATTCTTGATCGATTATTGAAGTAGGTTTTTTATTTTAAGATCAATTGGGTTTGAGATAAGTTATTTTTAAAATTGGGCTTCCCAAAAAAGATGAATTGAGCATTGGATTTTTTTAATTCACAACTTAAGTTGCCTGTGTCAGAATGCCTAGACATCTAGGCGTCTCTACGGCAACGATTAGGCGAAATCAGGAAAACTAGGCAAGTCGAATTGGAAAAGCGAGAGAAAACTTTTGGTTGGACGCCTAGGCGACGACGTAATATCTATGCCACAACCTATGTTCCAAAGGAGCCATGCCTACAAGACCTCACATAACCTTGTTTGAAATCCTATCAAACCTCGTTTGCCTACAACCCTACACATCCACTGTAACATCCTCATTTCCGCAACACGCAATCAACGAACATGGCTTTTCCTAACTGCCTAGCACTCCGCCCCATACAACATAGTTGGTTTGACTACAAACCGGTAGAACTTATCTTTCATCTTAGCCAAAATCTTTTTATCACAAAACACCCCTAAAGCCAACCTCCACTTGGCCCATGCCGCTGCTACACTATGCGCAACATCCTTGTCCAACTCCCCATCTGCTTGAACGACCAAGTCAAGATACAGAAGCTTGTCTACCTTTGGCAATAAGTGAGCATCAATCCTAACTTCTACCACTGATTCTAACTCCCGACCACTGAAACAACATTCCATGTATTCACTCTTGGTCCTACTTAGTTAGTCTCCGTCCTTTTTTTGTCTAATCCCTTTGGAATCCAGGAAAATGTGCCAAAGTTCGAGGTTATCATATAGTCCCTCATGGGTTTCGTCGATAAGCAAAATATCATCAGCAAAAAGCATGCACCACCGGACCTCCCCTTGAACTCCCCGTGTCAAGATGTCCATCACTGAAGTGCAACCCCACCTATACGGAGAAAGTCTCGGAGTCACCTCACCTCTGATTGTCTTTACCCTAGTCCTTGTTGGACGTATGTGATCGGAACTCTTCTCAACTCAAGACACCTCCACAAAACCTCCCTTGGCACCCTACTGAAACACTGTATAACGCTATTAAATCTTCAAGTAAATAAACAATTGGAAGAATAATTCTATTTCAGATTCATCTCATGCATTAAGTCTATACTAATTTTTTCTTTAATTTAAATAAATCCTTTGACCTGAAAGAATTTACCCAATAAACAATGTCAACTGATCCCCTTTCAGCAGCTATGGCACAATGCAATTCTATTTGAATGGAAAACCTAGGGGCTGTTTGGCCTAGTAGATTGAGTTTTGTCTGCATTTGATTAATAAGTGTCTGATTATTAAAAAAATGCACCTCAATAGATTATTCCCAAAAGCTCCCTATCTCTTTTTAAGACACATATTTTTCCTTCCCTAAATATTTTAATATGTTTAAATAAATACTCTTATATGTGATTTTATGCCACAATAGCAACTGTTCAAACAAATGCTCAAATTCAAAATTTCTCAACAACTACAAACAACTCAACCAAACAGCAGACAAATCCATATCCTGCCAAGTGAATTTTGAGCATAAGTTATGATGGAATTGAAACCTTGAATCTCCAAAGCAAGACGGGAGATGGCAATATTGCTGTGCTGGTGAGTGGTGTGCTAACACCCTTCATTTCATTCACCTCAGTTGCATGCAGCAAATCTTCAGCACTACTTCCCAACTCAATGGAACCTAGAGGTTTATTAATAACTATTGTGAGTAAATATCTTTTAACCACTTAACTAAGTAGAAGGCAATCAATTCCAGGATACCCAAAAACAAATTAATGACGTACCAAAGTCAGAAATAACTACTCGGCTTCCAGATCTCCTTAGATGTGGACTGTTAGCATTAGCGCTCACAAGGCCCCCAAACATAGATTGAGGCAGTGGAAGAAAGAGTTACTTCCAAAATTTAAGTAAATGTCCTTGCCTGTCCCAAACATGAAACTAGGGGGGCATAAATAAAGGAATACGTAGTAAATAAATAAATATTTTGAACATAATGGCTATTGGAAAAATGACTGAATCTTTTCAAATGGCAGATGCAAACAAAAACAAGATATAGAATAAATAAAACAAGTCAACAAAATTTAGATTTTCCCTTTCATTAGAGAAATATAAATTCAACATTAAGCATAAAAGCAACGTTTCACCTGGGCCAATCTTGCCAAATTCAAATGCTAAGGTTAGATCACTGGTGGGCAATGTGGAGTAGTGATTAAGAGTGGACCATGAATGCAAAAGCTATTTATAACTTAACATACAAATTTTCTATAGTAATGTCACTAATGCAATTGGATCATTGTGCAACAATATATCCATAACCTTCACAACATATCAATTTGGTTTTGTACTACATCAAAGTGAGATGTGCATGCAGACAATTGTTCACTATTTTTAATATTTCAATAAAGACACAATTCTAGAATATAATGAACCGTGCAACTGAAATAATTCATAATGTTCCGAAAATGCAAGACAAATAATTAATACCTCATCCGTCCCTAAATAAAATTCACCTTAACTATTTACAAGGTCAAACTATACCTTCTTTCATTACTTGTTACATTAATCATTTGTTACAATATCTTATAATAAATAACTTTTAATTCAGTTTTTAAAAATGTAAATATTATATTTTAATTTTACATAAATATGTAAATAAATTGAATTGAATATAGTCCAAACATTGTAAGTGAACCATTGAAGGTATTTTTTAGGTCAAATAACAAAATTTAATCTTTTAGAATTTTATACAACAACAAATGCAGTATAATCTCGACCCCCTACAGAATTTGTTTTTGAGAGTTGTCTCGGCCAAAAACAGTAAATGTGTGAAAACAGCTCGTGCTCTAGTTCTTTAAATTGAAAAAAAAACTTTTCACTCTTTCTGCACCAACAATCCAGCATCTCAGTATAAAACTTTCTACTGGCTAAGTAATAAAAGAATCTGATAAAATGCTGGCCTACAAATGTAATGGATAATATTAAAATCACAATAAAATACGAGCATTTCACTTTAAGACACAGACGAGCTAAAATTTAAAAAGCAGAAAATTACTCAGCATACAAAATCGCAAATTTGGAAGAAAAAAATGGAAAAAATTACACTTACCTGAAATGTGAAAATATGATCTGTAGAGTGGCGTTTCATACACTTTTTTTTGAAAATATATTAGGGTAGTAGAAGATCTGCACAGTAGTGTTTCAGATATGGAATTTTTGAACATAGATCTAAAAATTCACGAATTATAAAAACATCTATATCATGTCTGGATAATAGAAACAATTCATAATATTTTTTGTTTTGGAATACTGGATAAGGTCAGAAGCAGAAGCATAAAGGAGCGGTGAATTGTTTGTACAATTGGAAGGAGACCAGAACCGAATTGAAGCTTGTGAAATTATAATCCAAGAAAATACTCCAAAAGAATTCCCAAAAAAATCCAGGAATTACAGAAGTCTTCGATGGCAATTCCAACAAAAATCTAATCCTTCGGGAAATTTTTGGGGCAATTCCAGAAATAAAATTCCATAGGTGCAGATCCATACTTGCAATTCAATAAAAAAAACAGAGCCATACCTCCAGGAGATGAGTGAAGAAGCGAAGAAGAGCAATACTGGGGTTGCGCAGCACGGAGAAGATAGCAGCCAAGTAGAGGAGCGCTATTTCCCTTGCGAGAGAAACTGAGAAGAGACTACGTTCTATATTTGGTGGAGCTTACAAAAAATTATATGGTACAACCGATCTGAATAGTACTTATTCTGGCACAAATATAATTAACGTGGTACTCATTCTAAAATAATGCAGTACTCATTTTTACACATTAGTTCAATATAAATATACTCCGTAATATTCATCTACAAAGAATGTAGTGTTCGTTCTGAAATAAAACAGTACTCATTCTCAAATAACTTAGTGTTCATTCTCATATAAAATAAAATTCATACAATAAATAATTTCTTGGTTGTACCCAAAATTGAGTACAACAGTATGTATAATATAATTTGCCGGGTTCCTAAACATTGTAACGCATAGGATTTACTTATGGGCTCTTGGGTCCATTTCGAAAAATTAACGGTACCTACCTTCCGATAAATCTCCACTCTGTCCTGATCCGAACACAACCTCACTCCCTTCAATTACACCCCAAGTTAATGATTTACCATTTTTATAAAATTATATTTTAGTTTTAAAATAAGATTACTCTGTATAATTGTATTTATTTTAATTTTCCAATAATGTATATGGTGTGTTTTATATATAAATAAAATTGAATGCTAATAATTCAATTAAATTCTTATTAGAATGTGGTATCTGCTTATACACTCTCGAGCAAAGTTTCCTCAAGATTTGGACGTGTAACCTCTCATTTGGGAAAGTTACTACGGAATTTAATTTTGCAGGACTACAAGATCTTTGGTTTATACAAATATTTTTTGTTTAACTATACTAAAAAAACTCATCTTGTTCAACAATTAGGTACGGAGTGTGATACTTCTAACGGTGAATTTGACAATTCAATAAAAAGTTTAGAACAAATAATTCTGGAAAATGAACAATAACGTTACAGAGTACATGATAGAAAATAAAGTTCAACTTATAAATATAGATAATTCAATACTCTCTCGGTCTTAAAAAATCTTATACCAGTTACGATTCTGATCTCACAATAACCTTTATATATTTGTGTGTTTTCATTTACAAAATATTATGTGATAAAGTAAAGTATTTTACTCTTTTATACTCTATAAATTTCTTATTAATTTTAAAATATGTAATTTACACTTTTTATTCTATACCAAATTATAAATAAAATAATTTTAAACAAAAATATGATTTTGCACACTATTCGAAGTGAGATTTTAAATGGAATGAAATTTTATACGTTTAATGTAAATTGTGTAGTTGCTGCTGCTGCTGCTGGAACAACTATTTTATGCTACTAATATCTTACCAATTACACCGCCTAAGGTATATTAATTACTCATTATGAAGCCAATGTGACTATTAATCTAAGCAGGTCTGAGTCGGAGTTAGTCTTCAGCAAAATTGACAAACTTGTTGGGAATGCTACAAAATTCATTAATGTATGATGCTACAAGACATAATCATGTTCATCCAAGTAACCAACAACCACTGCAAAGATCACAATGCCCAACAAAAAAGATCTGATCTTGAACCAATTCCAGCAGTCATAGAGAAGTGAACATACAAACAAACAACACAAACTCAGGAAACGGTTTCAAGAATCGCAGTTCTACGTCCGATCCGGCCCTAAAGGGCATTTTGAATTTCCAATCCAGAATCAAAATATAGTTCAATATTGTGAATCAGTAATACACATGGAAGCCCAGAAGGGAGGAATTGCCTGAGGCTAAAACAAGTATGAATATAACTATAGCAAATATAAATGAAAACACATCTGGGAAATGAAAAAACTGAGTGGATGTCCCATCAAAGCAAGCATTTTTACCATTCAGATCCATCAGGGAATGAATCCAGAGCATCTTGCTTGCCATTAACATAGAACTCAACAACTGCTTGCATTCTCGGAAGTTTATCCGGGTGGTAATTTACATGAATTATAACCGGCTTCATCTTTTTCAGGGCAGGATCTTTCCTCACCGTCTTGAACAAGACCTTGCTATTCATAAAAAGGTAGATATCCATGGTTCGTCTTGAAGCATGAAGCCCAATGTAACCGGGATGTGATGGGAATGCCAACTCTTCGTTGAAAACCGCTTGGTCCCACGCATTTGGTTGCCGGGCAAGCCGGTCAGCAACTCGGTCAAGTAGTTCGATTGCAGGAATCGTTGGCCTTATGTAAAAGAACCCGGAATTATAAACCCATATCCGCATGGTGTGGGCATAGCGGGCCCAGCCCATCACGGGTTCGTCAAAGACATCATTGTATCCATAAGCAGTCATGTTGTTATGTCCATCACTCATTGACTCCACATCCGAATCCCGGTACAAATGGTCGAAAGGATTCTGTAAATACACAATGTCAACATCTGAGAGGAGGACACTATAACCCAGCTGCAAAAACTCCCTCAAGATTCTGAACTTCAATCCGGACACGGCATGGTTCCCGCCCATTTTCCCAACAGAATCAACCATCTCGTCCGGGTCCCGCTTGTAAACGGGGACTCCGTTTTCTTTGCAGAAATCCAGGATAGGGTCATCTAACGCCACAACCAAGTAATTGGAGATACCGGCTCTTTTGATACTCGTAAACCAGACTTCCAGCATGGATTTCACATTTGAGTTGGCCAGTGCAACTATGATCTCTTTCCCAATAGAAACCTCTGCCAAGATCTTAGCCAGTCTGGGGTTAACGGATTCATCCGGGATGACTGGAGGGTTAGTTCTCAGACTCTTAACAGTGCCAAAAGGGCCGGCCTTTTGTGGTTTATCCAACACCACAATCTGTTGCTCTGCATTGCCCCTTTGCTGCTCAGCTAAACGCAGCTTTTCGCGCAGCTCCCTCACCTGCTTCTGTAGCTCTGTGTTCTGGTTAGACAATTCCATGAAGTCTGATTTCAATTTATTTATCTGGTCCGAATCGCACGAAGAGGAAGAGTCACCCTATAACACAGGAAACAGAAAATGTCATGAGGCATAGAATCGATCCCAAATCATTGTGCAAGAACGTATAATCTAGATTCAGACCAGAAACCCTAATTCCTAAATGAAAAAAAAATCGGTTCAGTCTCAACTGAACTAAAATTCCCAAAGAAAATGGCGCGCATTCAAGCTAATCATTAAAATGGAAGAGAAAATTAATGCTCCAATGGTAATGATTTGTATGTGTATATTAATTACAGACCTGAAGATCAAGTTTGGAGAGTTTGCGAGTTTGGGTCGGCAGCTGGTTTGATGAGAAGAGTCCGTTGGGGTAAAAGAAAGCAAAGACGCAACCCATCAAAACTCCGACAGCTATGGCGGCACTGATTCGAGATCCGCGCGTGGTTTGGCCGGATTTATCTCTCCGACCAGCCATGATTAACCTTCCCTTACAAGAAAATTGAAGAAGAAGAAGAAGAAGAAAAACACCTTTTCTAGAACATGAAGTGAAGATCTCTCACTTCACCTTGAAGCGAAGGAGAATTAAAACCCAAACTTTGGTTCGATTGATCGGTAAACTTTAGAGGCCGGAGATTCGAAGTCTCCGTTTTGGGTCTGCCCGTCTGAGAGGACAAGAAAAGTCGTTGGAGGCTCAGTGAGTGGCAATCATCCTGTTGGCTCACTATAAAAACATAATTTTTGCATTTTCACACATTTTATTAATAGAATATTCATTTCTCATATTTATTTTTTAATAATTATCAAAAATACGCATATAATGTAATATATATACACGCATTTAGTGATTTCATTTTATATTAGAATAAAAACAATTTCATTAAATTTATCTTTAAAAAATTTCATAAGCTTTTCTTATTGAATTAGCATGCTACACAATTTTTTATAACAAATACTTAAAATTTGTCCAATTTAATTCAGAAAAAAATTAGAGGAATACAACGAGACAACGGAAGTAATACTCATCGTGTCTATACAATAACTCATATCCAACATATGCACATTGACGAATAATATACCACGAGTTTACTTATTTCACACATTTATTTTTTTAACTAAAATGATCATTATAAAGTATATGTATGTACACTATAAAACAAACTTTTTTTTGAAAAAAATATTATGAATATCCTAATAAATCTTAAAGTTCTTAACAAGAATAATGAGAAAGTTTGCAAAATTACATTTTTGAAGTTCAAAGTGTGGACTTCATTCGAATTTTATTGTACATTTTAAAAGAGCATGATTTTTTATACATAGTCAAAAGTGTGCACCAATCAAGGATAGTCCGAAAGGTGTGCACCCGCACGTGACTCTAAATATATAAGGTCCAACAAAATTAGTAGATGTTCATTGTTCTAATTATTTAATATTTTAAATCAATTTTTTAAATATAAACATATGTATTTTAATAGTCAAAGTGGTAATGACCATTAAAGAGCAAATTTAGCACTAAGTGTTTTTTTAGTGGAGGAGGGGGGAATTAAAACAAAAGTACTCCACCCAAACCAAATAGGGCCCAAAACACGTTTTTTCACATGACCATTCTTATTTTTTCTCATTTCCAATGTGTGGTGGTGGAGAGTTGGTGGTTGGGTGTTGGGGGAGGGGGGTTAAAGTTACAGCAATTTTTTATAAATCAATTCTCACAGCATAGAGAGTATATTTTATTAGGATTCTTTTTTATCCAAAATCAAGCGCATACATGAATAAAAAATCATCATTCTAAAATTTCAAAAGAAACCAAAATGGTTTCATATTTCATTGGAAAGAACGAAATGAATGCAATACATATATATATATGCTTTTATGGCATGTTAAAACATCTAAAAATAAAGGTATTAATTGATGATTTCTTATGGGTTGTATCTTACACTAGGTTAAATTTCCAAAACTACCTATTTCAAATGAATGTAAAGATACTAAAAAACATACTGGACAGGTGGTGTAGGTATGCCATTGTCTTTCATCATGGCAAAGTATTTAGATGGTGCAACAGCGCCTGCCCTAATGCACATATCTATAACGGCCGGAGCATGCCCGTAATAGCACCGCCCTTCATCCAGCAGCACTGGTGGGTCTTGAGGTCTCCTGAACCATACTATCTTTGGAGGGACTAAATCGTCCACTTCGGCCTTCTCCCACAAGTGACCCTCATGCCAATGTTTGTCCACTTGATGATGTCGTCGCGTCACGCGAACTTCTGAGCAGTGTTTGCATACCTTTGTTGGGAAAACCATCATCAGCTTCTGCACTCCATTTCTAAGCGTTTCATATGCGTTTAGTGTCTCTTTTGCTACCAGCTCCAGTTCCTCATGGGATGATGAAACTGTGGTTTCGAAACCATTTCCTGACTCTGCATGTTCACTTTGTTGAAGATCACTTTGAGTGGCTCCTGATTGTAAGCAGAGTTCTACGACTGCTGGAATTCGTATTTTTCCTCTGGCATTACGAACTGCTTCTACTGGAACTAGGATGTCGTTAAGGCATGCTTCGATCCATTTATGAGGCTTGATCTTTGCAAGGTGGCGGCGGGGACCACAACAAGTACGAATGAGATGCCCTCTCTCTCCGATGTACACTTCTGGACAGTATTCGCAGGCCCAGACCGGCAAATGGTGGAGGAGAGTGGAGACGCCACGATAGAGTAAAGCCCGCGAATTCAGGACTTCCTGGGCCACTGGGGCAGTGTCATCGAAACGATAGTCCTTGGCCCAGTTCTGAACCTTCTTCATTATCAATGGCTTCAGCGCTCTCAAGTTCACCACCTTGGAATTCGAGCTGTAGAATCGGGGCCTTGCCGCGTTTCGTTTCCCACAGGTGGAGGTTGGATGATCTGAAGAGAGTAGGGCCTTGCAAGGAAGTGTGGGCTTTACTACAACATTTTGAATGATGTTTCCAGATCACTTATATGATAGAAATAAATCTAAATTTGTTTTGATAAAATACGGAGCATCTAAAACAAATTTTAAGTTTCTTCCTGTAGTATTTTAATATGGAGTACCTGATTAGTAAGGGCAATGGCTGAAGCAGTGGAAGCGTGTTTTGCTTTTTTAGGCATGTGAACTTTCTCCAAGACCCTGGGAGCGTCAGTAGAAGAACCTTTTGGTTCTTCCAGAAGGGCTGACACAGAGTTAGACATTAGCTCTCGTGCATACTGCCACACATCAATCCCAAGCTCATCAAGCACACCCACACCATCAGTAACCCAGATTGCTTGTTCATACCCACGTATGACATGAACATCCTCTCCTCCAATAGCTTCTTTGTCGGGATGAAGCTGATCAAATGATCCAGAACGGAGCTTCAGGCTCCGACCAGTCCATATGTCCCTGAAAATGGAATCCACATAGCAGCATAGGAACAATGAACATTAAGAAAACGTTCAGAACTTGGAAATCGTTAAGGAAAAAATGTCAGAGAATTTTGTTTTTAGAATTTGGCTTTATGTTGGAAAACCAGAACCAAAATCAATTTTGCCTAAAACTTTTTAAAATTTAAGATATATTCCAATTTCTATGTTTTTATAATAGAAATATATAAACAAATGAGGTTGAACAAAAAACAAAAAATTATATATTGAGTTCCGATCAACTAAGTATTTTCCCTGAACCTCCATTCATTAAAAAATCACCATCAATGTTCCTCCTTTTTTTAATGTCCATAGCATTTCTACGGCGCTTGATGTTCATTCGTGGGTAAATTCCTAATCAGATATGGAAGGATAATGGTAGAAGAAGAATTAATTAAATGAGCTTATGTAGAAGGAACATACTCTTCCATAGAGTCAGCTGAATTTGCAAATTGGTCCCCAAACACCAAGTTATCAAAGGACACATCAGGAGCAGTTCCATTAGAGAGACATGCAGGCGAAAATCTGTGGAAGCCATTCAATCCAAATCCTTGAAGTGGACAATCATCATCCCTTCTATTTGCAGCAACATATGCAAAATATCCATGGACAATGAAGAAATTAAACTGATCTTTCTTCCTCAAACTCATGCAATCTTTTCTAAAATTCTCAAATCCTCCATAGCCTTTAGAAAAAAGTGAACTATTCACTGATAAACCAAATTGGGGGTACCAAGAAGAACTTTTACTTGAAGAATAGTCAAAGAGAGAATAATGTCTAGAACCATAAGCAGCCATTGGTGTCTTACTAGATACAATACCCGAAGAAAGATGGGCATGATAGGATATCAAGTGATTGATATGATAGCCACATACTTGAAATCCAGGTCCAGAAAGTGATGGAATGTAAACAGCACAATAAAATGCTCCAGCAATTGGGTGATTCCTCCTTTCATTAACTATATATAGATTTGCTATAGCAGCAGCTAGAGAATGGAAAAACCTTGAATGACCTAATAATAATCTACCCTGAAAAAACTGAAAGCTGGACTGGCTCCTGAAGCCCACTTTGTCTGCCATAAATAAACTTTTGGAGTTCTTGCTGTTTAGCACGATATACTGTCAAGTTTTTAAGCGGCATATTTGCTTTCCGAAGAACACAGATTTTTCTGTATCAACCTATATGTGGAAGCAGAAGAACCAAGCCACAAGGAAAAAGAAAATATCATAACTCAATGTGCATTTACTAGCAAGAAGTAAATCAGTAAGCTGATATAGCACACCACGAAGGCACCAATTATAGTTTTTCATACACCTGTACAGCATGATGGGTGAAAATTAATAAAAAAATAACATCATACAAGCAACTTTAAATTGCGAGGAGAATTTTCACACACAAAATATACAAAACTAATCATAAAAAGTGATTTAATGGTGAATTTATGTTGATTGGAAGTGTTTTGCGATTATAAAAAGTCTCATTCTCATTCTAGTTTTTTTACTGGGGTATGATACATGATAATTCGTTTATAATCTAGTTGGGGACCTTTTCCTACTGCTTTTCCGTGTAACAAAGCCTTAGCAATGTTTTTGTCATAATAAAATCACAAAGAGATCCATAAAATTTAGTACCCCCTATGCAAGCATACAACAAGAACAAGGTAACAAACCTAGTTTAAGCTCAATTTTGTTGAGGTCTAGGGGTCAAAACATACTGAACATTACCCTGTAAAAAAACAGAGGCTGCCTCAGTGCCTCTGTTAGACCATTAATGCATTTACTATCCAAAATTTCATAGAAAACAAGCAGAAAGTGAAGTTGGTTCTAATTTTCTGATCAATATATATTTAATACTAGTAGTAATTCTTCTGGTTTGATAAGAAATGCACGTAGGAGAAAGATCCAGGTCAAACCAAGCGTCCCAACGTCCAGAAATGAAAGAGCCAGTTAGTCACTTTAGATTAAAATTTCAGGGAATCCAAACAAAATAAATACCCAAATTACAAAAGTGAGTAAGTTTGCCGCCAAACCAGATGTGTGCTCATATAAAAAAAGAACGAGTAAACATCAAACACTGAAAACAAGAAGAGCAGGGAGAGCACCTTCTGAAACGAAGATCGAGCTTGAAGAAATAGATGAACTTGAAGAGCTTGAGTTGTTATTATTCGATTCATTGAACAAATCATTCGATTGTTTGTAAGAATCAATCCAGGAGCCTCTCTTCCCCCTCTAGAAGGAATAGACTGAGAAATCCACGAATGATTAACACACGGACCAAAACTGATCGGAGCAAAGCTCATAAAGCTTGATCGGCGAAGGTGAACAGCCACATCTCCTCGTCGGATCTCTACCTGTTTGAAGGAGAGTACAATCGGCGTTCGCAGCAGTTCTAGGTCGCTGCCACTGATTGCCGTCGTCCGATGAGAGGCCTAAGAGCACCGTCACCGCCACCGATTCTTCGCTGCGATCCGGCTCTTGTTCGTCGACCCTTCCGCCGCCACCGCATGAAGGATGAAAGGGTATTTTGCCAAATAAAACTAATTATTTCAACAATTTGACTAATTATTATTCTCAATAGTCCATATTACCCAAATTATGGGACAACCGACCGGTATGAAAAAAATACTCCCTCCTTCCACTTCCACGTATGATATTCCCATTACGTGTTACGAGGCTTTACCAACTTTATTTTTAATTAAATTTAATTGATTATAGGAGTAAAATTTTAAAATAAAATTTATATAGTAATAAATTACATGAAAAGTTCTACAAAACTAGAGGTGACAAGACTATATTATTTTATGAAATGACTAGTAAAAGTGAACAAACAAATTGAGTAAAGTTTGACTTTGTGAATAGTGTCTGAGAAGATCTATGGTGGACAGAGCGAGTAACAAAAATGCTAGGGGTACACCAACTTTTGTATTCCATTTATACCCCTCCATCTCCACCACACAAAAGCAAGAAAAGAAAAAAAATTAAAATTATAAAATGAAATCTATGGTATGATTGTTGGTGTACAAATGGGGTACACCATTAACACCAAATGGTGTACCCCTAGCATTCCAAAAAATAATTTTGATAAAAATGTTCGGATTCTTATGAAATTTCTAACGAGATGCTATGCAAATATAGAACTGAAAATTGGTGGGTGAGATCGATTTCCATCCCTTACATATGCATTATTTCGAAGAACCATGCTACATTTACACTAAAAATTGTACCTCATTTGTGCACCGCAGTTATATACAAACATTTTGATGGTTTACACCGACACAAATGTTGGTGCGTTAACAAAAATTTACACGGACACAAAGTGTTGGTGCATTAACAAAAATTAGTTTTACACCAACCTAAAATGTTAGTGCAAACCTGTGGGATATAAAAGATTAGGGTACAAGTAGCTTTATCCTATTTCGAATTAGTGTTTCTTCCTTTTTCAATATAGAATTGCATGTTCATTATCCAATGTTATTTTTAAATTTTTAAAACTCATGTTAACATTTGCATTTTGCATTAAAATAATATATATATATATATATATATATATATATATATATATATATAAGATTATTTTATTTTATATTTTTAAATAATTTTTAGTATTATGAATCAATATTACAAATTTAAAAAAACCAAATATCCACAAGTTTTAAAAAAATAATAAAGTTATGCGATATCACTAAAATTTTATCTAAAAATATAAATTTATATACTAAAACTAGAAGTAAAAAACATAATTATAACCTTATGTTTATAATATTATACTCCACACATCATATTAATATATACTCTGTATGAATTCGATCAAGTTTGACATATTCTTAGCACGTCATTTCGAGTTAGCTCAATTTCAGATTTAGTCAATAAAATCTTTGTGCAAAATTCAGTATTTTTGAGTAATATTTCAAGTAAAAAACAAATCGAATCATTTTTGACAGGTCAATGCAAATTACTCCGTATAAAAAAAATTTTATATAAAATATATTGAGCTTGAACACATACAATATACTTCGTAGGAGTAGCAAATACGGAGTATTAATCTTTAAAAATAATATTTCCTCTGTCCCAAATTATAATGCTTGTTTACTATTCACATGGTCAAACTTCATTCATTTTCTTCCTCTAAATGTGATAAAAAAAAATATTATTGTCACTACTAGTTTTGTAGATCTTTTGATGTAGTTTTTTAATATGTAATTTTTATTTTTTAATTCTATACCATTTGTCATATAAAATGGTTTGAAAATAATTTCAGTCAAACATCATAAACCGAAACAGGCGTTATAAAATGGGACGGAGATAGTACTATGTACTTTTTAGTCTTCAAAGTTTCCAATCTTTTTGTCCTTAAAAAAAGGTTTCCAATCTTTTGTTAAGAATTGTAAGTACGGCCTGGTTCCGTGGCCACTGGATTCCAGTGACCATGGAACCGGGCCGTTGTAAGTAAACGAACAAACATTAACGTTGTTTATACGGGTGATCAAATAACACAGAAGATAATACATTATCCCTTTTGTATATCTAATAAAAAGCTATACAAATACACACACACACACACAAATCAATTGCCTGACATGAAAGTGAAGGTTATTTTAGGAATGGAGTAATACCAAAGAGTCTTAACACACTTCCATTTAGTTTAGTCACAAACAAATCAGTTCAAGAGAATATATCAAAAAAACTCATCAAATCGTTCGGAGCTTGGAATACGATATATAAGAGAGGAAGGATCCTAAGGGATGAAGTTCAATCTTAATAAATACTACTAAAGATTGTATGTACAACAAATAGACTACACCTTTATCTGCATTCACACATACACTAAGTAGATTTGCACGGCGGCGCAGATGAACTTTCCTGCAGAGGGAGAGAGAGAGAGAGAGAAAGTGGGAGTGAGTGATGAGAAAGTGATCTTTATTCAAAACACAAAACTTATAGTGAGTGAGAAATCATATACACTCTCGTCTCTGGTGGTGGTGGTGACATAGGAAACGACGACGGTGATGTCATCAAGCTTCCCACCATAGTAAAGAAATCCGGCGTCTAGCGCTGCAGAAGAGAAGGGTGTCTGCCTGTACTTATCCCGAGCCCGCTGCCGTGCCAAAGCAGCAATCTGCTGGGCAATCACCTGCGGCCCCAGCCCTGCTCTTGCACCATGAACCACCACTGCAGTGATATCACTGTTATATAGGTTGTCAAAAAGCCCATCTGTCCCTGTGATTATGACATCTCCTGGAGCCACTCCAACTTTGAACACCTATTCACAAAATACACATGAAATTTTGCTCATCATGAAACAAAAGTAGTACCCGGGGGGGAGGGGGGGCTTAACGCAATACTCCATATATATTTGTGAAGTAGACCTGTCCAGAGCTTGGCAGATCTCCAGCACTACCGCTTTCCAACTGAAATGTGAAATTAAAGTCATGCTGCTGAGAAGGAGATCTGAAAACCGTGCATCCGTCTCTAACCACCATGAATCCACTGTCACCTAAATTGATGGCATGGAGGCCCTGTTGTGAACAGGGGTGTCAGGTAACACCAAGAAAGAAAGAATTCAAACATTTGTTCCTATCTTATTTTTTGTTTTGGTGGTAGTATTTACAAACCTGATCCGTAAGGGCAATTATACAAGCAGTTGAAGAGCCTTTTGCTTTTGTAGACATGTGAGCTTTCTCCAAGACCCTAGCAGGGTCAATGGAACCCTTTGGTTCCTCAAGAACGGCTGACACCGAGTTTGACATTAGCTCTCGTGCATACTGCCCTGCATCTACCCCAAGCTCAGCCCACCCACCCACACCATCAGCAACACCAATTGCTTGTTCATCCCCACATATGAAATGAGCATCCTCTCCTCCAGTCTCTTCTTTGTCAGGATGGGGCAAATAACATGACCCGGAGTTCAGCTTCAGGCTCCTTCCAATCCATACCTTCCTGCATAGAGTGCCGCATACCACCACAAAAATAATGATACTTTAGGCTACGTCTGGAATGCAGAAATTGGTAGAAGGAACCTCATGCTAAGGAAAACAATTTTCTGTGTTTGGTTTTACTTCTGAATATATGAATAAAATTCAGATGTGAGAAAAAATAAACTTCAATACATGGTTAGATGTTATAGTCTTTATATAATACTCCCTTCGTCCAACAAACCCATTTTGGTTTTGAGTTTTAAAGAATTTAAAGGGAGTGTATTTTGGTGTTGACTTTCCCAAAATGCCATTGGATGTGATTGTATAGAAGTAGATGTGATGGTAGATTAATAGTGAAAAAGTGTGATGTGATAGGTAGGTTAAGAATTAGTAAAGGTAAAAGTGACTTTTAATAGAAATGAGAAAGGTTTTTTGGGACGGATGAAAAAAGAAAGGAGAATGGTTTTGTGGGACAGAGGGGGTAGAAGTGTATACATAAAATGAAGTTGATTGAATATACATAATTCATTTATTGAGTTCCAACCAATTTTATATTTTATCCGAAGCTTCGTTCCTTCCGAATTTCCCATCTATTTTCCTCCCTATTTTGTTCCCCTCTGCATCACAATGGCCCTTAAAATTTATTTCTGGATTAATTCATATTGACACGTGGAACGATAGTAATGAAAAAATGGTAGGAATTAATAGCATGAGCCTAGCTAGAAAGAACATACTCCTCCTTAGAGTCGGCTGAATTTGCAAATTGGTCCGCGGACACTTTATCAAGGGACAGATCAGGAGCAGTTCCTGAAGAAAAACATGCATGCGGCAATCTATGGAAGCTATTCAATACAAATCCTTCAAGTGGAAAAGCATTGCCCCTTCTCTTTGCAACTACATATGCAAAATATCCATACACGGTAAAGGAATTCGGCTGATTTTTCTTCTTCAAACCCATGCTAACTTTTCTACAATTCTCAAATCTTTTAGAGCAGTTTGAAATAAGTGGGGTTTTCACTGATATACCAGGATGGAACTCATGGAAGTAGCTGGAGGAAACCTTACTTGAAGGGCACTCAAAAAGAGAAGATGATCTGAAACCGCAAGCAGCCATTGGTGTCCTCTGAGATTCAATGCCAGAAGAAAGATGTGTTGGATAGGATATTAGGCAACCAAGATAGTCATATACATGAAATGCAGGCCCAGGCACTGATGGAATATAAATGGCACGAGAAAATGATCTAGCAACTGAAATATTCTTCGCTTGATTAACTGTATATAGATTTTCCTGAGCAGCACATAGAGAATGGAAAAGCTTTGAATGACCTAATAACAATCTACCCTGAGAAACCGAAAGCTTGACCAATTCCTGAAGCGCACTTTTTCTTCCAGATATCAACCTTTGGACTTCATGCCAATTAGCACTATGTACCGTCAACAGGTCTTTAAACGGCATGTTTTCTCTCCCAAAAAAAAATATTCGTCTGTACCCAACAAAATGTGGAAACAGAAGAACCTAGCAGCAGGGAAAAGAAAATTATCATAACTGTACGTACATTTACTAGTTACAAGTATATCAGAATGCTGATTAGGTCGCCACTAATTGTAGCTTTTCAGACACCTGCATAGCACAACACGAAAGAATTGAAAAGCTATAACATCAGAGACAGCTTTATATTGTAGATAAAAGTATTTGTTTGTCCATTAGGCACAATTCAACAATTTAAAAAAACAGCTTATCAAGCCTAGTACTCCTCTTCATCCCAAGCATGACACAAAGAAAGTCATGTATGTAATGGTTATTTTATGCAGGAGAATATCCACGGGGAGATGATCCTTTTTACATGGGTATTTTGACCACTCACACGCACATGTTTGCTGATTGCGTACATTGAATTTTTAGTACGGACCAAATTCAGGCAATGGAGGGTCGCCACAGCGCCATAACCGCCATAGGCGACCATGGCGCTGCTTTTCATAGCTAAGGTACGGATACGCAGTATGCATTTAGGTGATTTTTCAAATGATTGTATTGTTATTGAAATCATTTTACAGATATTCAAAACAAGAGTCAATCTCATATTGGTTTTCCTGAGGATATGTGCAATCTATTGAGGATATTGTCGGAAACCTTTTGTAATTGAAGATGTCGTTTTTTCTCAGATTTTCTTGAGATTTGAGAATATCCTAGAGAAATTTAGACCTATTTAACTCATATCAAAAGATACATTTTTTTGTGGTGCAAGGGTATTAGGAAATAGAGGAGAGCATGAATCGGTTCTTGTTTGGTTTTTCAAATTCACGTAATCCCGGAGCTCTGACACAATATGTATGGAAAAATGAAGAACACCCGTGTAAACCTTTTGAGCACTCTAAAGATTCTATCAGTATTAAGGGTACACCACCAATAACACCCGTGTACTCCCGGAGCTTGGTTCTAGCAATCAAGCTCGACACGAGTATAGATTTTCAAACAAAACGTGAGTTTGGCATTCCATGGGAAGAGCAAGAGAGAGCAAATATTTTTGAAAAGAATTTGATTTATCTTCTCCGGCATATTGAGTAAAGTCCAGCACCACCNATATCAGTAGCTCTTGTGAAAATCAATAATAAGTCTAAACAGACTGATCACATCTCCTTACAATATAAGTAGGTCTTGTTCAACAATAACATCACACATACGAGAAAGAGCAAGGCCAAACAAAAGCAGGCCAAGAGTCAGCTCTGGTCACTGTAGAACCGTTCATGAATCCGAGCAGAATATGTAACAAAACAGATAAGGAAGGAAGAGGGGGCACCTTCAAGGACGAAGATCGAATTTTTGAAAGAGTTTGAAGGTGAAGAGATTGAGTTGTTGTTGCCCAAAGATTCATTCACTGCAACAAATATTTGGATGAATAGTAAGCAGCCACCGGGGAGCAGTAATAGGCCGGCGAAGTCCGAAATTTGGGTGAGAGTTGCACCGGGATTGATCGGAGCTAAGTGCTTGAGGCTGGATTGGCCGGAGCTGATATTCCAGCGAACCCTAACCGCCACAGCATCAATTTTGACTTCTCGACCTGTCCAGTTCTTTCCACTCTTCTAACTATGGCGGCTGAGGCACGGGGTCTTCTTCAACCCGGGATCCAAACCTGGCTCGCATGTTCCCCAAAAGAGCCCTATGGGGGTAGGTGTACCTCATTTGTCCCTCACCCCTTTATCCATCTTTCAATTTTATTTTATTTTTATTTATTTAATTTTGTTTTAGTTTCTTGCTTTTTTGTGTGGTGATGGAGGGGGTGGGGGACAAATGTGGTACACCTTTGGTGTACCCCTAGCATTTTTCTCCCCAAAATTCCCTCGAAATGGGTTTGAAGCCTGGGGCTTCAAACTGGGGCTTCAAACCTTCATTTTTTACATTTTTAAATATACATCTTCTAAAATTAAATTAATAAAATGTAATTAATTTATTATTTAATTATATTAAAACACGAATAATAAAAAAATACATTCATTAAATAAAAAAAGCGACAATAATAAAAAAAGATACATTAATAAAAAAAACTAAGGAAAATTATATTTCTCCTTGATCTCTTTTATTCTTTGCTCGTAGAGCATTCGTCCAATATCCGACAACGTCCCGGGGTCTGTTGCCATGACTTTCATCTCGGCCTCCTGCTCTTTTAGCTTCAACTCCTTCTCCTTTAGCTTCAACCTCTCTTGTTCTTGGAGATTGAACGCCCGAAGTTATCCAACCATTTCCCGGCCGATTTCGTCGCGGGAAGAAGCGGAAACAGAGTCGAACCCTCCCGAAGCCGAGGCAATGGATTTTGCCTTCTTTCTTCCGATCGGCCGTGGAATGGGGTCCTCGTCATCGGAATCCGCAACGTTGAAGGAAGGGATTTGATCGGCCGAACCGATAGTCTCGTCGACCTCAACCTTGGCGTCGACGGAGGATCTTTTCCGGAACGATCCGCCGTCGGGATTGTTGAGTTGTTGCCACTTCGGGGAACGACTCAAAATCCTCCAAAGATCGATGGGCACCTTGCCTTGGTGCCCGTTGTCTTGATACCGGGCCGTGGCAAGCCGGAGAACATCAGCGTCGTTCGTCCCGCTCCTCTGGGACCGGGAGCATTCCTCGTAAACTCCGATAAACATTCGGACTTTACGGTTAATGTGGCTCCATTTGGAAGTGAGTTGATCCCGGGTTCGGTAGGAACCGTCCTTGTTCATCGCCGTGAAGAACTTCTCCTCGATACGATCCCACATCGCATCCTTCGTTTGCTCCGAACCTTTAAAAATGTATTACACATTTTTTTAGACACCATTAAATATAATATATATATAAATAAAAAATAAATATATTAGAAAAAATAAATTTTTTTACCAATGATAGGATGTTCGGAGACGTCAACCCAAGCCAACGCTAATATGCACTCCTCCTCCGGCGTCCACTTTTGGATTGATTGTGCCGCCTCGGACATCATCCTTTTGGCTTTGTGGCTTTTCGGGTGTGTACTTTTTTTCGACCCGGACGATTCCGGTTGAGTCTCTGGAACCGAATCTCAGTCGACGTACCCCGATTGTTGCGTCTCGTAGATCGGCGGTCGATCGCCCCACTGTTGGTACAACCACATCGCGGCGTCGCTCGGCGGGAGATCGTCGGGAAAGAAGCCGGAGCCGGATGGATTCATGTTGAAAAGAGGGGGTGATTTCGAATTTTAAAAATTGAGAAGAAGAAGAGATTGAAGATGGAGAAGGTGTGAGAGATTGGGAGGGGGTTGAATTTATAAGAATTTTTTTTTTGAGGGGTCCAACGGCTATAATAGCCGTTAAGGGGGGAGGGGGAGAGGAATGACGTAGCGTCATTCGTTTGACGCACGCCTCTTTACACCCTGTTAATGCCGGCGGGGGGCATGTTTAACGCCCCGTAACGCCGGTGGGCGTGAGGAGTATACACACTGCTCTAAGCGAGATCAGATATCTAAACAAAATTAATATTATTATTTTTATTTTTATTATTAATATTACTATTGTTCTCACTATTATTAGTATTATTATTACTATTAATATTAATATTAATAGAAATATTTGCACTAAATAGCACTAAACTTAAGTCATTTCTCTAAATAGCACTTAGATTGTTTTTTCTCTAAATAGCACTCAATAATGTCCATAATGACCAGTGATGACAAATATTTTACTTGAATAATGACTAATGGATAATGACTAAAAGTGTTACATTAGAAAAAAACATATGTAGTGCTATTTAGAGAAAGTCATTATGTTTTAGTGCTATTTACGTAAATTCCTCATATTAATATTATGATTATAATTATTATTATTACTAATAATAATATTATTATTACTATTACTATTATTTTTACTATTACTATTATTATTATTACTATTACTACTACTATTATTATTAATACCACAGAGTATTACTATTATTATTATTATCGGTCCGGTTCTATTGACACCGGAAAACGGTGCCACTCCATTTTTAAAATTGTCAGTTCCTATTCCCTTAAACCCACCCCATAAACCCCCCACCCTTGCACCCACACTCCAACCCCGTCATAAGCTCCCCACAAAATGTGTGGCTATTTTGTGATAGCCAAAACTTTTTTAAGATTTTTTAATTTTTTGTAGTTTTTTCAGTTTCTTTTAAATTTTTTTAGTTTTTCCAATTTCTTTTGGTTTCTTCCAATTCTTCCAATATCTTTCAGATTCTTCTAATATCCATCTCTTTTTTTCCAATCCTAAAGAACACACCTGCCTCTATATGGAGTAACATGAAGTAAATACTGAACATTTTGCATTAATTAATCATAATGATGAATCTCTCTCCTCCTATGAACAAATATTTACAGAATCAATTAAATACACGCATGTCCATGTCTGAAATTATAATTAAAAAACAAAAAAAAACAATCAAAGCTCTCCAGCAGGCAAATTTAAGCTCAACTGTGAAACATTATCCCTACCCAGAATCTCTTTTTTTTTAACTCCTAAAGAAACCCAGCTGCAGGCTTTTGATCAGAAGTGTCATCCCAAGAATGGCCGCCCAACAACCCAGTAAACGAAGACGACGAAGCATCAATTCCGAAGTGATCCCGCCGCCCCCTCCCATTATTCATAGAACTCAGCAGCACAGGATATTGGTCCGCCGAGGACGACGATGTCTGGTTCCCTCCCAGTCCAAGAAAATCCAGAGTCAACGGCTTCTTCTCTGGAATTGGATCACAAGAATAGTCTCCTCCTACTGAAGACATCGTTAATCCAAGGCCCTGGAGAAATGTGGTGGACGCTTTCGACCCTACCTCCGCCGCCTTCTGAAGCAAAGCGGTTGCAGACAGCGCGGCTGGTGGCGGGGGCGGCGTGAAATGGTGGGCCCGGGTGTCGTCGTAGAGAAACATAGACGCTGCCGAGTTGGCCGGGGGGTAACAAGGGGTCGGCGACAAAGAGAGTGACATCATCACCGGCGACGACTGCGAATGCATGGACGAGGGGGGCATCGACAGTCCCATTAAACCGAGAAATGCCCCCTCATTGGTGTTAAGGTTGTTATTATTGTTATTGTTGCTTTCCTCTGTCTCCTGCATCCTTAAAAACCCATCCCTAGCGTTCCAGAGGAAGTTACCACCACCGCCACCGCTACTGGCTGAGGAACCTCCCCCTCGTCCGGAGACCGGGGGAAGTTCCTTTTTCGGATGCGAATATCCACTTTGGTTTTCAGGCAACTCTGGGCCACCATCAAAGATAATAAAACAAACAAACAAACAAAAAGAGTGGAAAGATGCAAGTGAGAGAAAGGTGACAATGCATATTAAATTTTCAACAAAGTAGATTCAATTGGAAAAGCTCTCAGAAATTCAATCTTTTTTCCTCATTATGCTTCTTATATATTGTCTACATTTATTAGACAGATAGGGGTAGCTCAGAATGAACAATGTCAAAACAAAAGGGGCAATTATGCAAGTAAAAAGGTGAATTCAATCATGATTCATAAATTTCATTTGGTACTTTAATCTTTCCCAATCAATTACTTGCAGTATAAAGATACTGTATATTATAGACCCTCTCTCCCATAAATACTTCTTGATTTGACTTTCATGAAGTTTTTATGAGAAAAACATTAGAAAGTGTGTTGTTTGCATTCATTTAATGAAATGATATGAACAAGTCATATGATGAATATACTCTCTAATTAGCAATATAAACTTTTTATAGGAAAGCCTTTCAGAGATGTACAGATCATAACCACTTGTGTAAACGTTAGGGCCAATCAATAGTTTTTTAGAGTGGAAATGTATGCTTTTTGGGTGCAGAATTTATGAGAATAGATAAATCACTTATACTGAGTACTACATTGTTGTTTAGTGGGTGGGAATAAAATATATATACACAACCATGCTAGGTATACTAACATTTTAACGATTCACATTCGTAAAAAATGCAATTTAATTGAAAAATTGTATTAACATTTTGTGTCATTGTAAACCATTACACTAGCACAAAATATTGGTGTATCCGTTCAAGATACAATTTTTGGGGTACACATAGTTTAATTCATAAACATACTCCATAAAATAAGTTATGATCATGATTTGAATAAAGACAAATGCTAGCTCCTACTCTCATTGAAACATATAAATGAACTGTTTCCACTAGTTTAAAAAATGCTAGACTAAAACTCTGGCCAAAAATAAAGGTCATCGTTTGACTTTTGATCAAATTTGATTGGGCGTAAACCATTCATACATCGTAAGATTTTATAATATAAAATTATTCTTTAAAAATTTTGTTTTGACATAAATTTCATATAAAATACGACTGGACGGTAAAATTTCTAGAACTTTTTAATTTATTCTTTGGAGTGGTTTAGAATTTTGAGAGTACACTTTCAATCTATTGAATAACATAGAATTAATGGTCCGCCAATTTAAACATGTGACCACTCAAATGTCACAACGAATCAAACAATGTCGCAGAATTACAAGGTCTTTGGCCTATCATACACTTACCCCCTCTTTGGATAGCTTTTCAGGAAGGAAAGAAAATATGGGTGGAAAATTTGGAAGGAGAAAATAAAATTATTTTCCCATCTCTTGTTTGAATATTCTAGGATGGAAAAAAAATAAATCTATCTTACCTCCTAATTAATAGAGTGAATGTAAAATTATAGTATTATTTAAACTTTCCTCCCCTTTTAGGAAGAAGAGTAATTAAGTTAAATAAATAGATATTTTCCATACCCTTCATTTTTCTTTTCCTTCCCAAACACATTATTATATGTGAAATTTGCACTAAATAGGACTAAAACACAAGTCATTTCCTAATGTAGGACTTATATTTTTTTATTATCTAAATAAGATTAAATAATGACTAGTGAGAAGAATAATGTCCAAGTGATGCTGGACATTTAGTTAAATAATGACTAATTCATAATGACAAAGGTCCTACATTGAGAAATAAAAACATAAGGTCCTATATTGGGTAAGTCATTATGTTTTAGTCCTATTTAGGTAAATTTCTCTTATTATATCCACTCACCCCTTTATTCTTCATTCTTTATTTTCTTTCTATCCTTATTTTCCCTCTTTGAAACAAAGAGTTATACTCCGTAATAAAACTAACTTTGACTATTTGACGGGTCACATAGATTAAAAAAATGAAAATTATGATATATTTGGAAGATTAAAAAAGAAGCAATGCAATTGCATACGAGAATAACATTTTCCTTAAAAAGAAATTAGAGGGTGTAAATAACTCTGGAAGCGGACAAAATGGGAAGTGGTCAGGAACATGTGGACTAGTGACTAGTGAGTAGTAGTAGTATGGGATGCCTATCTGTCTATATGGTCACATTTTAAGCGAGACATTGAAAAGCCTCACCAATGGACAAATTCCAATGACAAAACAAAGTCTGGTGTCACATGTTCGAACACACCCACAAATTTCACACTATCAACCATTTTTTCCATGTTAGAGCTACAAACCTCACAAAATTTATCATTTTGTTAATGTAGTGACTACTACATCCTTCCTTCCAATGTATTTGTTGAGTTTGATTTTTTCGAATCAAATTCGACAAACTTTGAATTCTAATTTTCTCTCAATTTATATTGCATATTAGCATAATGAAATACAATTTTGAAAGTTTTCAATACGATAAATCCAATAAAATCATTTTTGTGTTAAAATACATTATTATTTTTATTTGATTGAAGCTCAAAGTCTGTTCAGTTTGACTCGAAAAATTCAAATTAGACAAATGCATGGAGATTTTAGCATTTTTTTATTTTTTAAACATTGAAAACCAAGAAATTTTAAAATAAAGATTTGGGACGGAGGGGTAAAAAATAAATGGTAGTCAAACTCGAATAGTGTCCACTCACCTGAACTCTGAATGGAGAGGACGGGAGACAGGACGGCAGTTGACGGCGTCAGAGGTTGCGGCGGTGGGCTGGAAGAAGACGGCGGCGGCAGCGGCTTTAGGTTTCCCAAATTCAAAACCTCGCCGTGAGAGTGAGAAGACCTGGCACTCTCTTGCGCCAGCGCATCACAAAACGCCCTATGCGTCAAGAAACTATCTCTCCTTCACCCCACCCAAAGCCAAGGAGAGGAAGAACAGCGGTAAAAAAAACAAACATTTCACCGACCAGTAAAAAAAACAAGACGAAGACGAAGAAGAAGAATGACGAGGGTAAAAAAAATTCATTTACCTGGCAAACACAGTCCCGCAATCGCAAGGGTATTCTCGGGTGCCGCAAATCTTCGAGTGGGCTTTCCAATCGCAGAGAACGGCGTAGCACTTGCTGCACTTGTCGCACTTGAATTTCTTCTCGCCGTGCTTCCGGCAGAAATGTTTTTTGATTCCGGTGAGGTCGCCGAGAGCTCGGGCTGGGTCATGGTGGGCGCAGCTCGGTTCCGGGCAGATGTACACTTTCTTCTTCACCTCGTTGCCGGCCGGCCGCTGCTTCAGCTTCCACGGCAGGTTGTGGCCCCGCCGGTGGAGCTGCAGATTCTGGTCCCTCTGGAACCCCTTCCCGCAGATGTCGCACACGTATTTGTTCGTCTCCATCAACGATTTCGGCGACAGGGCTATCACTTCCGCATCTGGATCTAAACATTTCGCCATTATTTTTCCGATTAATTTATTTCCGATTTCTTCTTTTTTTTTGAATTCAATTGATAGATAAATGATATAATGGACTTACCGGGCATTCCGGGAAGGTTTCTCTTTCTCTTAGTCCGAATAGCTTCTTTTCCGCCTCCGGGCGAGCTCGCCATTGAAATAAAGCTTATTATGTCTTATACTGGCTGAAGCCTGAGTGGAATTCTTCCCGAGAAATCCGTACCAGATCAAAAGCTGCGTGTTTTTTCTGAGCGGTCGTCGGAAACCGTGTGAAAGAACAAAGATTTTTTTTTTGAAAAGTTAGCAGATACTTTAATTTTCCGGCAGCCGTTGAGAGGGGACTCGGTGGCAACTCAGTGAGTCATCCGGACGTCGCAACACTCGTTCCGCCATGTTGATACGTGTTGACGGTGGTGGAGACTAGAGAGAGAGAGAGAGACTGAGGGGTGGAATTGTCTTAAGAATGGGTTTTTTTCATTTCTCGCAACCATGGTTAGGCCAAAAAGTGACCGCGGTTAGATGCTGGAGTTTAAGGTTCTTCACCACCAAGATTTATATGGCCACGGCGGGATCCTGCCGTTCACGTGGCATGATCTGGTGCCTTTACACGAAGAGTGGTGTTTTGTGATGGAAAAAATGCACCACAACCCCCCTATGATTTCAAAAAAGAACTCCAACACACTCGTGGTTTAAAAATAACTTATAGTATATTTCTGGTTTGTAAGGGGTGCATGTGCAACCCTGATGAGAATTGACTGTTATTCGATATGCACCCCATGAGTGTAGTGTAACCGTAGATCATAAGATTCCTAATATTTTTTCAATCCAATCCTACATCAACGCTTATTCGGAACAAAAACTAGGATTTATTATTTAATGGAACAAAGTAGCCAAATTCGTTCCGAATAACTAATTAAGGAGACGGAGTAGCCAACTCCGTCTCATTATTATTATTTTTAAATCAATTTTTTTTCTTAATTTCTCAACTTCGTTCCTCTATTACTTTTTAAAATCAATTTTTTTCTTTATTTCTCATAATTGAATAACAAAAAAAGTATTATAAAAACCAGCAAATTAATTACATATAATGAAACAAACAATCTACTAATAATAAAATTCATAGATAAAATAATTATTTAATGACTTTAAATAATGCACCATACACCGAAATTAAAATAAGAAGTAAATCACAACAAATTTTTTGATAGAGTACATATAATTTATTCATTCATAAAAATAAGGTTACAAAACACATGTCATAACTAATTTATTTTGTAAAGTTCATAAAACATAAACTTAGACATAATTGAAATCCATGATATAGCTATTGTTCATTGCGACGTCGTCGTGGTCGGTAGTCCATGTTATTCGGATAGCGAGTTCTTAATCGATTGGATTCAATATTTTAATATGATTTAATCTAAATGTCATGTGACCCAGTCTAGTCATTCATATCCCATTCTAAATTAAATCATGGTATCAAAGCAGTTTTAGCATACTTCATTTGTTAAGATGATCGTCCAGACGTTCATTATTAGCGGCTTAGTCTTTAGCGCAGTTGTACATGTGGAGTATATATTCAATGGCATGTGACTTGTTTAACCCAATTGTTCGTATAAAAGTTCATAACTAGCGACTCGTAGTCCTAGAGGTGTTGGCACTCAAAAAATCAAACGGATGACAAACTATTTACAAGCGGTCAATGAGTTAGATTTAAAATAGTCGGTTGTCCACTTGAGAAAAAGTTTTAAAGAGTATCCCACCAAAGAAGAAGAAGAAGAAGAAGAACTACTGTATATATGTCATTTTCGTCCTAAAATGACATTTCTAGTTTGACCAAAACTATTTTAAATCAATTTATCTGATTATAGGTGTAAAAATAAAAAATAAAAAGTATATATTTTAAAAATTCTCGAGGGATCCCTCTGATGATGTTTCCTAACTCTGGTCACTGACCCCTCTAGCTAATTCAGACATAAGATGTCGAGGGAGCCTCGCAGGCCGAGCTTGATGATAGTCTGATTGATCGGTGAGGCAAAGTTCCCAAGGCATGGGCCCAACACTACAAGGTTGGGCCAAAGGGATTCGATCCAAATGGGCTCTCTCTGATGGCTGAGCTGATCCTTACAAGCCTGGGAACGAGCCTATATCTTCATCAGGATTAATAAATTTATCTTATTGTTTTCTTGTAATGTTAAGAATTGTAACATGTGAGATAAAATTTACTGCATACAATTTTTTTTTAAAATTTTATATTGTAGTAAAATAGAATTCCATAGGCGCTGTCCCCAGGTCATACAATTCACTATTGTGCCCTCCAAGAGCACCATTTGAGATGAAAAATTTGCATGAATTTATGAAAATTTTTAAAGAAAAGACTGGTATAGACTATACTGCACATCCGTTACGTAATTTTAAAAGCATGGAGAGAGCGGGCATGGAATTGGGATAAATAACAGAAGTGCCACCATCTTCAGTCCGCCGTGTGAAGGCGGCGGAAGCGGCGTGGAAAGGACCGGCAAAGGGGTACGCAGCGTGGTCGGGTAGGGAGAACAGTTTGTTCATCGCTCACGTGGACCAGAGGTTGTATTTTTGCTAATATTGGAAACCAGCTGTGTTCTTCGTCCTCTCACTCGTTTTTCTTGCATCCATAAATAATAGTAAAATTTATCCTAAATAGGACTAAAACATAATGACTTTCCTAATGTAGGACTTAAACTTTTTTGTTCCCTAAATAGGACTTAATATTGACCTAGTGAGAGAAATAATGTCCAGTAATAATAGACATTTACTTGAATAATGACTAATTCATAATGACCAAAGATCCTACATTGGGAAATAAAAACATATGGTCCTATATTGGGAAAGTCATTATGTTTTAGTCCTATTTAGGTAAATTTCTCTAAATAATACTCTCGAAAATAAGTTTTAATGCATGCTTTTATTTATTTCTAATGTCAAATTTTGATCATTTTTTTAGGAAAAATTTACAATATTACTCTGAAAAAATTCCAATTTTACAAGAATGCTCCAAAAATCAATTAATTACACCGTTATCCAACAATTGCTCTATTTTTATAGAAACACCCCACCTGATGTCTCACTTGCACAATCATATTGTGTAATATCTACATTAATTTTTAAACTGGTGACTTGGAAAAATATATCATTTTTTTCAGGTTTCATGCAACAAAATAAATTATTTATTCTTCCTCGAATTCAAATATCATTCAAACTTTTTTTTTTAATTTTTCTAACTCCCTACAGTTTCTTCCAACATTCATCTTTAGAACCTTCAAAAAAATGAGGAACAAAATAGGAAATAAAATAAAAGAAAAAACTAAAATAAATACTCTCTCCGCCCCCCTAAGATCATCTCGTTTTGACTTTTTATAGTTTTTAAGGAGAGTTGAAAAAATATGAAAACTTACCATAATATCTTTAATGAAAATGAGTGGATGAAGTATCATTTTTCTGGACATCCCAAATTCTCAAAACTTTATAGACCTTCCGAAATTTTTTTTTGTACAAGAGTTTTTTTATCTTTCTATTTTTATTCTGTTTTCAATAATTTTTTTATACGTATTTTCTTTTTTTTTTGAACTTCCCATTTTAAAAACAATCTAGAAAACAAAATTTTGAAAATGTTTAATTTGAGATAGATGAATTATACATTAATCTTTTTCATTTTTTATTTTTTAATTTAAACACAAAAAAAATACTTCTTAGAAAAGAAAACAAATAGAAGAAAAAAAGAGATAAAAAGGTAAAAACCAAAAAATAAAGGAAAAAATGATTAATGAGCTCTATTGCCCATGTGATTTAGAAAATAAAGGCATCAATGTCTCTTCTTCACTGGAAAATGGTCTGAAAATAATCAAAGGGTGTGCGTGTGCAAAACTTTGATTCTACAGAGATTTTAGAAATAAATTTTGAAAACCGAAAGGATATTGATACCAATTTTTCAAATTATTGAGGACACAAGAATGATTTGAGTTATTTCAAATCATTACGAAATACGGATTATATAACAAATTCAAGAAGAAACAAATATGAAATTCAACAAAAACTTAAAAAGAGTACAATGCAAAATGGTCACAATAAACTGATACAAGATTAAGAGCTCAATATGATTGGTCGGCCGCTGTATGAAAGTACTAAATTAACAAATTCACAATAATGGAAGGTTAATAAACGTTTAGAAGACCTCTATGCAATTATATAGGTCTTTTCAATTACAAAAATTACTGTAGGATTACAAATAATATACTCACTTCGTTCCAAATTATTTGTCACATTTCTATTACCGAGGTAAAATATCAAGTTTTTTCAATTCATTTTATTTACATATTGGTAAAGAAATAAAAAATAAAAATTACATATCAAAAAACTATATGAAAAGCTCTTCGAAATATGAGGTGCAAGAATATTTTATTTTATCAAATAAGCAATGAAAACGTAGAAATAAATAAAAATTCTCGCGAGTGTTAAAAAATCAAATGTGACAAATAATTTGGGACGAAGGGAGTACATAACTTTAGTGGTATATCAGCCAAATTGGTCCCCTATACTACATACTTTTAACGAATTACCAACCGTCAAGACTCAAGAGCTATATATATATATATATATATATATATATATATATATATACACTCCCCCGTCCCATAAAACCTTTCTATTTTCTTTTTTCATCCGTCTCAAAAAACACTTTGTTAGCATATATATTTATTTACTACCATATATGCAATTAGTTTCCTTTGTAATTAGTTTCCTTGTTAGTAGTGTAATTAGTTTCCTTGTTAGTAGTCCTTTCCATACTTGGAGTAGGACTTGGCACATGTATATATACGTTGTGAATATTGAATGAAAGGCAGCTCAGTTTTTCCAAAATTCTACATGGTATCGGAGCCAATTTCCCGGGACCTTCTCAAACCCTAGTTTTTTTTTCACGCACGGTGCCGCCACCGTTGCTTCGCCGGCCACCACACCACGGTCGCCCCTCTTCGAACGGCTCACGTCGATCACCACCGCTGCAGCGCCGGCTCACGTCGGACTCATAATCACCGTCTCACGCCGGTACTATCTTCGTTTCCATGGCAAGCGAAGGAACAAAGAAGGTCAGGCTCATCCACGACCCTACCTCTCCGTACTACATCCACCCGTCCGAAAGTGCGGGTAATTCCTTGACGAAGCATCTTCTCAAAGGTGATAATTATGATATTTGGGAGAAAACAATTATTAATGCTCTAGAAGGGCGTAGTAGAGCAGGTTTTCTCAATCCTTCCGGGTTTCCTAAACCCACTGATGAACAGGAATTGGCGGCATGGAAAGCTAATAATTCCATAATTTGTTCTTGGATCTGTAACAGTGTTGATGAACACATCCAACCTTCCATTATCTCCCATAAAATTGCTCATGAATTATGGTTAGATCTG